TCAGACCTGGTTAACTTTAAAATGGAGCTTGTTCCAATGTGACACATTATTTATAAGAAAAAAACAAACTCAGTGCTTACAAGATTCCTGTCCCTCTCACTTTGTCCCGCCCACATCCAGGCTCTCAGCTTATAGCTAGGCTGGTCTGGAATGTTCCATTCTCCTGTCAGCTTATCGATTGCTGGGATCATAGATGTGTGCCTCCATGCTCGTTTTGCCTATAAGATTATTTCTTAGAATTGCTGTTAACATAAATTAATGTTTATAAGTAGAATAAGAAAATGATAATTCTGACAATATCAACTTTAATATTTATACAAGCGTTTTTACAAAACTTGCATCTATTCTTTCCTGTATCACTCTAAAATTTAAAGCTTTTGTGTATTTCTTTGGTATATACCAATACATTGTTAAAAATTTGTCTGAAACACTTAATACAGCTAAAGTTTTTAGTTTTGGGCATGATGTATTTACTTGCTATAATGAAAAATGAGCACTTATCTGTGTTATACTTTCAATCACTTTCACTTTCTTCTTCCCCAATATATTTTTTATTTGCGCACCAATCAGGTTAAACATAATTATATAATGAGTGCATAAATATTTTCTCAGTGTTAATTCACAGGTTATTATATTCATATTTTCTTTCTTACATTTTTTTCAGACCGGGTCTCCCGGTAGCCCCAGTTGGCTTGGAACTCACTATGTAGACCAGGCTGGCCTCCATCTCACAGAGATCCACCTGCCTCTGCCTCTGCCTCTGCCCCCTGAGTGCTGGGATTAAAAGCATGTTCCACCACATCTGGCCTGCGTTCATGTTTTCCAGTGGGCATTGTCTTTGGCCTTGGTTTAAATTGAGTTAAACTTTGTTTGTGCCTGTGTGTACATGTGATGTGGTTGCCTTTTTTCTATACGCCTATTGTTAAACCATCCTTAGATTGTCTAGTACAGTGCATATGCCTTCAATACTTTAAACTGGCAGAAATATCTATTAATTCCATATTTTTGGAGATAGCCTTCTTAGAGATTTTCCTCCTTGTCTCCTCTTACTAACTTGCTGCTCAGTTGGTTTTTTTCAAGAGTTGTTTGTTGTTCTGTGATGTCACCGAACCATCATCCCAGAAATTCCAATATTGTTTCCTTCCACTGAATTGCCAGTGCATGAATGTTATATCTTTTTGTTATTTTACTTACTTGTTTTGGGGACATATCTCTTATTCATTTTGGACAGTAATTTCATGAAAAATCAAGTTTATGTTAATTTGTAAGCACGGAAATGTTTTTATTCCTCTCACAAGCTTGATTCCCAGTCTGGCTGCTGTAGCGTACAGGGCAGCAATAATATTCATTCATAATTTTGAAGCTTTTTGTTTGCTATATTATTGCTTGGCATCTAGTGTTGCTCTTGAAAAGTTTGATTCTGTTCTGATTTTTCTCTTTGGAAGTTTTGCCCTTACACCCTATATTTTAAAGTCATGAAGTGGGCCTCCCCTGCCCCCTGTGCTGAGCCTGCCATGGATTTTTCATTCTGAGTTTCAGTTTGGGAACATTTTGTTGAATTGTTTCTGCTATAATTATTTTGCCATAAATTTCTTTTGTCTAACTTTCTTGGTTAGACAATGAACCTCTTGGACTGGTGACCTATATATGTATATATTTTTTTCTTTGTTGTTTAATTTTCTATATATTCTAATTGTGTAGATGTAATTTTTCTAGTAGATTTTTTTCATTTCATTTCTTCTATCAAATTTATAATTTTTAAAAGTTTTCTTTCCTTCCTGTGTTATTTTGTTTTAAAAAAAGTTTTGTGCATGCGTGTGTGTCTGTGTGTGGGTATGTACACATGGGTGCAGGTGCCTGTAGAATTACAGGTGATTGTGAACTGCCTGATGTAGGTGCTGGAAACTGCACTTGTGTCCTCTGCAAGATCAATACATGCTCTAGCTGTATCCCTAGACCCAGTGTCCTTTTTAATACCATGGTTTTCTTTAGTAAAGAATTAATATCTATTGACTAATAGTTAAAAATAACCACATGTACACAGACACTTCTTCCTGATTTCAACATTTTCTACAATTTGCTGTTTCTGTTTCTTTGTTTTATTTTGTTTTGTTTTATTTGGTGAGTTTCTACTTTTTTTGCTGAAAGCTTTCTTCAATTACCTGTGGAATTTTGGCTGCCCATAATTATCTAACAAGCTCCTAGGGTTAAACTCATGTGCTGCCTTTTTGGGTGATCTTCCTCCACTGTTTGGCCAGTGAGCTACAGATATTTTTGATTAGTTTGGTTAGATTCTCTAGAGAAGAATTATTCAACTTCCTTCTAGGAGGGTCTAATATTGGCTGCTGGCATTAGAGTCAGATAAGGGGATATATAAGTGTTTTCATGTTCAGCACATAGACCGTAAGAAAGCTTTCCTCTATGTTCTGCATTTCTACACCAATATCTCTCTGATTCATTTTCTCTCTGAGTCATATTCTCTCTCTCTCCTCTCTCCTCTCTCCTCTCTCCGCCCCCTCCTCTTTGTAGCCCAGGCTGGCTTCCATCTCATGCAAGTCTGTGTGCCTTTGCTGGTGGAGGTAGGTCATGGGGCAGCACCAGCCAGTCTAAATTGTGGTGGATTGTTCCATCCCTCCAAGCATCCTGACATGGATTCCTGACCACCTTGCCATGAATGGCACAGCACATGCAATTATACAGCTTGGGAAGCACATAAGCATCGAAGACACTTATTTCAGAAACGTCCCTGATGGCAGCAGCCTCTATGTTCCCAATAAAGAACTTCTTAATGGCTTTGACCTTAGGCACTCACCAGGTGCAGTTTGTGCAGTGAGTGGGGTTTCACATGGCCATGGCCCTTTTTTGGTGCAACCATTGCTTCTTCTTCTTCTTCTTCTTCTGGTCATCTTGGAGCCAGGACCCAAAAGAAACAAACAAACAAAACAAAACAAAAACCAACTCTGCTTACCTTCAGATTTATGGGTACCTGGAGTTGTCAATCATGGATGATTTCCAAATGTTGTATTTTGTGCCTGCTTCTGAATGGTATTGTTGTTTTCATCTCTTTTGATCTTTTACTATAATTTACCTTTCTTAAGCCTAAGTTACTGCTCACTTTTTTGTTGTCTAGCTTGCAAGTTGTGTTACTATTAGCTTTCCTTATATGATGACACATATTTGTGATTTAATACCTTAAGAATCTGCATAGCTATTTTATTAAGATGTCATGAGGAAACAACTGTGCAACTGACTGCATGTTCATGTAGAATATTTGGAATACCTAAATTTTCCTACAGTCTCATAAGATATGGCATTATTTTAAAATGGCAATGTAAGGATGGAAGTCACAACTACTGAATGCTTTGCAAAATTCAACAGAACAGCTCAAATTTCTGAAAGTGATAAAAACAAATGGCAATCCTTTAGTTAACAGATAATGTCCATCTATTTTTATGTGCTTCACACATCTCTTAATAACCATGAAGGAACTGTAGTATTCTCTGTAGACAGACTCCACACTGCTTATTAATCACTCTAACTTTGTGATGCTGAAAGTGCCAAATATCTCCTCACTGCAGCTGCATATTCACTGTCCAAAACATTCTTTCCAGTATGACTTGAGCAAGCTCATCAGCTTGGTAACAACCTTCATATACGAGGTGAGAGTAAAGAGCTAAGTCTAATTTCAATTTGAATTCAGACTAGAAACAGTACATTAGAAGGCCAGCTAGAGTTGTTTATTCTATAGAAGAAACAAAACTAAACAAAAAAGCAGGAAAAAAAGAAAAAAGGGTTTTTGAAAGATGCTGCTCATTTTCAAGAGTTGGGGCCCACTAGTCTACTTAATACTTATTAATTTTGTTTATTTATGTATCTGTCT